CATGGCTCAAGGTTTTTTATGGGTTCTCCTTTTATCATGAGGGAAGTCAAGAGTTAGCATATATTACGATGTGCACTCCTTGTTAGCCTTTAGGAACAAATCTTTCAAAGATTTCCACACGAAAACCTTTTCTAACAACTGGCCTTGAACTGAAAGTTAGCAAACTCAAGGGGGAAACCTTGTCTAAACAAAGTGCTTATAGCTGGGCAAAACGTCAAACTCTTCCGGTTGGCCTACAATAGACTGTTCCACATGTCTAATCTCTTGATGGAACATCATCGCACACAGATGCCGTGTGACTTTGTCAACAAGTTGAACGCCAAAGGAAGAAAATTACTTTTAGGAAAATACAGAACTCAAACATCAACTAAACAACCTCTGCAACCTACTTGTAACATTGTAAGGCTTCAGAGCCTCCAGAATGATCTGGATCCAACAACTCCAGTCACCAAAAACTTCAAGTGCAGGCGATGTTGAACTTCATTTATGTAGCTTATTTAGTCAAAATGTAACAGCACACAACTGAACTCAGGTGAATAAGAAGCCCCTCCTTCCTTTTCAAATCAAACACCAACAAAATTGAATCAATCTGATAATCGTGTACATCATTTGTGAATTTGAAAATTTTTAGTGTTTCCTCTGTGGTCCACATACCACATCCTAAAGTACAAAAATGTTTAAAGTAGTATTTTATAGATCTTTATACACCACCATTCACTTATTTATCCAATTCTTTATTTTGCAAACTAATTATCGCAGTGCTAAGTCTATTCTCTGTCGTAATATCATCCTCGCTACAAAATACAGAAAACCAGTTAACAAATACCTACTTTAACACACAGATTTTGGCTTCAAGGAATCGAAACAGTACATTTCATTCTTTTGGGATGTAGAGAGGGAGTTAGGTGTACTGTAGGTTGACAAGGCAATGGTCGTATTTACATTGCTGGTTTTAGCCTGGCTGCCCGTGCACCACACACTCCCATCACTTCTTCTGGTGACAATTTTAATTACAGAGGACCACAACTACAATCCTCGTCACAAATCTTGAAACACTTGTGTGATTTTTCCCTCCCCAATGTTGATTTGGGTTTGCAGTCATTTCAGTGCTCCAAAATACGCTCGGCTCAACATTAGGGAAGAAGAGCAGCACATTCGAGTGAGAACAAAGGTGTGAGGAGTGAATGTAAGAATTTTGGGAGTACAATATGTTGGTGTGTGGCAAAAACAGATAATGACTTTGAAAAAAAATACAATTTAAACCAATGATAAAATTCTACAATGACACTAATATAAAATGGAAGTAGAGCTGGAAAGCAAGATTTTGTTTCAAATACATCCTTTTAAATTCATGAAGCTTTGAATTCATAATAGTCCATGAGCCAAGACATCTTAAAAACAACTTTCGTGGCACCCCCCATAAGACATAGCGAATTTGGTATCAAATTAAAGCTTATTGTATATATTTTAATAATCTACCTGTTACTTTCTATGTGACCTGTGCCTAAGTGAGAAAATCACATGTTTCTGAGGGGGGTGGGGGGACGGTTTTACATTTTGGCACGAATACTTTTTAAGGCTTAAAACAACAAATACTTCAAAAACTGCTGCTCCCATATGGAGAAAACTGGCGAAAAGTTTATTTTAAGTAAAGTGCTGTACTCGCCTTTGTCTAAATCTCAATAGGGTGTTACCATGGTAACCGTTGCTAGGCAAATATTTCAAACAGGGATATTACATTAATATGTACATTATGAACAGGATTTTTCACAGACACTATTTTTCGAACACCAAAGCATTATTAGCATCATTCCTTTGGTAAACCATTTTGTTTTTATGAACTATAAAGAATGTCAAAGGCTTTAAGGCTCAACAATGTTCCCGCTAGTCAACCAGTTCATTTGTTTCACAATTGTTGTAATTCGTCTAATAGCAAAGAGGAAAAAAATAAAAACTCAAAATAGATTTGAGACTAATGGACCGACCAAAATCTGTTAAGTGTTTTTGTCTATTATTTTTTAAATGAAAGAAAAGCCGGCACATTTTGAATATAATCCAGTGTCCACTATTCCATGAAAGTTCCATTCCAGATTGTATATCCCATGATGCAATTCAAACTTATTATTCATGAGCGGCCATCTTGGGAAATGGTGTGCAGACAAAATGGTGAGAGAATGGTGGTTTTATACAGATTTTCCTCTTAATTTCGATGCTTGGTTGTGCAAGATAAACTCCAGTAACGTCTGTAAGTTTCTGTACAATATATTTTATTTTTTTAAAAGCTAAACATTACTAGAATAACTGTAAGTAGTCTGTCAGATTTTGTTTTCACTACAACATCGATACTGAAGTCTTTGGCGTGGAAGCAGTCAAATCCAACGTAGAAGTTATGTTTTCAATAAGTTTTTGCTTGTGTTAAGGAAATAAGGTTTTTTTGCTTCTTTTCGCTAGTGACATTTGAAGAGTTTCAGAAAACAAGCTAGTGTAATCAAGGATATGGCAGAAATTACGCCAGTAAGTTGTACTAGAAAGCGCTTAATGTCCAGCTCGATACAGAAACCTAACTGGAATAGGTGCCTTTGTCATGTAAAAGAAAATTTTATTTTTACTAGTAAAAGCTGGGAAAAGTTTGAAAGCTCCTTGACTCGGAGAAGGGATGCAATCTGGTTGATTAGGAAGGACTACTGGAATGAGGGACCAAAAGGGGGTTTATCACCGGCAATGCTATCAAGAATACACAGACATAAACAGTGTCTAAGTCATTGCAATACCAGACAGGATTGAGAAGGAGAGTCTGTTGGGCAGTCCAGTGGCATTGAGCCTTCGTGTAAGAGGGTCTGTAGGTCACAACTTCAAACACTTGACATTGATAAATGTGAAATTTGTCAGGAGGACAAAGTCAAGAAAGGCTACGGCAAAGGAGCAAGAACAAGAGAACTACTTACACTAAACATTAGTGAATTTGGTACTGCCACTTTGATAAAAGCAGCCCGGATTTGGAATGGCAGCTGCATGCTATTGCACATTGATGGACGAGACACTATAGCTATGGAGATCAAGTATCATCGATCATGCTACAAAAATTATGTCCACCTAGAGCAACTGGCTAAGTTAGAAGAGCAAAATTGCCAAGAACAAGATGCTGGAACTGAGGGTTATGACAGAGCATTTGGTAAAGTCAAAGAATTTGTTGAAAAAGAAGTCATGGCTGCGGCAAAAGCCATTCCGATGTCAATCCTTATTGAAAAGTACACTTCCTTCCATACACAAGAAGGAGTAGATGTAGTGACGTACAGGTCCACTAGGCTGAAGAACCGGTTTACGCGTTTTTTTTGGAGAACGACTGTCCTTTCATCGACCATCGAACCAAAACCAATCAGAATTAGTCTATGGTTCGCACTTTAAAACAGGAGAGGTGGTAGAAACTGTGTTCAAGAGTACTACGTCTGTTGATGAAGAGCAAATAGCAAACAGTGACAATGAGCCGGATTTAACAAATGCACAAGACGAGGTAAGCCGTCAAGTTTACCATACGGCTAAAACAATACAAAAGTTAGATGCCAACATGAAACCAACAATGCCATGGCCACCATCATCAGAAGATTTAGAGTGAGAGATTGAGATAGTACCTGATCTGGTCTACAATATGATGGCATGGATTCTATCAACAAAGTCCGAATATTCTGTTGAAAGAGTTTCAGACATATCACCGGAGGTCCATCGCCTGGCCCTCTCTCTTTCTCAGGATTTGATACATTCTGCCACTCGTGGACGATAAAAGCACCCAAACATGTCGTCCTTCCAATGACTGTAAAGAGCCTGACGGGGAATGTTGAACTGATAACCATTACAGATTTGGACATGGTTTATCGTACTCCCAAATAGAGGAAGTGGAAACAGCTCGTAGACAAGTGTCGGAAGATGACCACAAATGTTCAAGAAAGCCAACACAGACTGCACAAAGAGGCAAGCTCAGCTCACATGAAAGGAGATGAGGACGATGTAAAGAAAGTTTTCGAAGTAATCAGCAACTGGCACGACCCATTTGAACCATCTGAGGAACTTCTTACCCTTAGCTCTGGGTATGTTGCCAGTGAAAGCATGAAGGCCGACCTGCTCCTGGCAAAAGAGAAGGGCACAACAAAGGAGAAGAAAGACTGGTGACAAATTCAACAGGATTCTTTCAAAAACTCCCCAAACTAAAAGGTAGGAAGTTTCCGTGATGCACAGAAGAAGACCTCTGTAACAGCAGGAGACAGGAACTTCATAATCAGAGCAGAGAGGAACTTATTTGGCCGCCTTCTAGTCATTGAACAGAGTTGCCAGATGGACCTCAAAGATTTGCTGAGTCACGAGCTTGGTCCCCTTCCATGGTCGTTGGCTTCATCCGATGGTTCATTAGCCAAGACAAACAAAGCAATTCTTTCCAAGCTTCTCGAAAATGGAGTAGAATGCCCGCCTACTTTACCTGATCTGACAACAGCTGTCATCATAGACGCCATGGCAATGCGGCAGACGCTAGTAAGGATACCTAATAGATTTTCTAAGCTGGTAGACATGGTGATGACCAGAATTCTGATAGAGGCTGGACAGGCAGCAAGAATCGACTTTGTAGGAGATCAATATACCGCTAACTCAATTAAAAACACCGAGAGGAACAAGCGAGGCAGAGATGGTGAGATAGTCATCAACATTACCAATGATCAACAGTTCTGCCCTAGTAGTGGAGAAAGTTCATGGCAAATGGAAGTAACAAAAATGGTCTCTTAAACTTCCTTGCACGTGAGTGGTCAGAAAATGCGATCTACGCCGAGAAAATCAAAGAACACACGCTCTTTCTCACTCATGGAGACAATTGCACCAAACTCTCCGCCTCTGATGGTACAATTACTGCATGCACAGTCTTGGAACTTTGCAGCAATCAAGAGGAAGCTGATACCAGGATGCTCCTCCCTGCAAATCATGCTTCTCAAAATGGACATCAGCACATCGCTATAAGGTCTTCTTATACTGACGTAGAAGTTCTAGCTTGCTATTACCAAGCTGTCATTGCTGCTGACATAACACTGATCAGTGGCACTAAGCGCAGATCTCGCATTGTGAGTATCCGACAAGTATGAGAAAAGCTTGGCCGAGAAATATGTGAAGAGCTTCCAAGCCTACATGCCATAACCGGTTGTGATAGTGTCAGTGCTTTTTCTACCAAAGGAAAGAAGAAAGCACTTGATATTGTACAGTTGAATCCAGCCCTTAGGCAAATTGTCAGTAGTTTTGGTGAGAGGTTCCCTCCTAATGAAGAAGATTTAACAAAGATGGAACGATTTGTATGTGCCTTGTACAATGACCCTAGTTGCAACGATGTAAACGAACTCAGGTACAAGTTGTTCTGCACCAGCTTCCACCAACAAAAGGAGCTCTGACATACAGGTACCACCTTAAGTGTGCTAACTATCAGGCCTTCCTCTGGAAGCATGCCCTAGAGACACAAATGAACCAGGCACCCAATGGCCATGGTTAGCAGATGAAAGAAGGCCAACTGGAAATCTAGTGGACTAACCAGGCACCAGCCCCCGATGCTGTGATGGTGCTTGTATGCTGCGCCTGCAAAGGATTGTGTCAAACACGACACTGCTCTTGTGTTGGTAATGGTCTTCCCCGCACTGAGGCATGTACATGCCAAGATAACTATGTAAATATTATTGTCTTAGCAAGGAAGATAGTGAAGAAGATGATGATAGTGATGACAATATATTGATGATAATGATAATGATGACGATACTGAAAAAAAAAAAGACAGTTAAATTTAGAATTGGTGACGCTAATTAGCATGGGTTGTCCAGTTGACGTATTCAAATCTATGAGTTGAATGTCTACAAGAATGTAATTTGATCGTCGAAACAGGCTAGACATCATTTCCTCTCATTGGGTCAAATCAGAATGCATCATATCCCCCCTTAAATGTGACTTAAAAGTAGTTTTTGATAAGAAAAAAGCCAGATGTGAAATGGAAGACCAAGTCATGGGGATGTAAGGATCTTATGAAATCGCAAATGCTTCGATGGTCATCATCAAAACAAACCAGTGTAATATACATGTATTAGAAGTTCAGTAGGCAACCGTTGCCATGGAAACAGTATAAACAGCTACTGTGATGCATAACCTTTTAGTTATCATGATAAAAATCGGCAAATTTCATTACAAACGCATTTTATCGTGTTCGTTAGAACGCACCCTAATCTGGCGTTCCTGTGGCACTAAGGCAGAAATTTTTTAGCTATTACGGGCGACTGCAAATTAGCCGCCCTATTAATTTTTTTAGGGGCACCTCGGCCGGGAAGCTGGACTTCTTTCGACTCGAGGAATTTCTGTAATTTTTCCGTAAGTGACGAACGCTGATCCGAAATCAATGATTACCACTACTTTCCAAAAGATATTAATGTTTAGAAGTCACAAAGCTCTTCCCCCACCCCACGCCCAGCTAAGTCTGTATTTACCTGAAAGGGGTTCAGTTATGCAGTATTCCCGAAAATGTCAGGCCAGTAAGACCAAACATTTCTGTGCTTCCTTTTCTCAATTCCTTTTTTCAAAAAACACTCACTAGTACAAAGTAAACGGTAAAAGTGAGTGGTGAAGCCCGATGCGCTATTTAAATGTTGACGGTTGTCATGGCAACTAAAGCAAACATATTCGATGAGTTCGTTCCATAAAATATGGTGAGGTTAATATTTTTGCCCAGTTTGGTGTAAAACCGTTTGGTATTTACATAGAAATTTACCTTTTGCAGTTCTTGTACATTTGGGAAGCACATTTTGTCCTTACCCGCCCCCCCTCAGAAACAGTTGATTTTCTCACTTAAGCACAGGTTACATAAAAAGTAACAGGTAGATTATCAAAATACGGAAATCAAGCTTTAATTTGATACTAAATTCACTATGTCTTGGGGGGGGGGGTGCTACGAAAATTTATTTTTAGCCACATTTCAGGACTTGGCTCATGTAAGTATTCGTTAACGGAAACAACCATGTCAATGGTGCTTGAGCTTTAGCCAAAATAAGGAACTCAAAAAAGCAATAGCAACCAAATAAAGAGCCCGTTATTGATCACAATACCGCTATGTAGTATACACACAGATTCTTGCTATCACCACTGTTTCAGAAGGCGCAAGAGTGGAAATTTAGTTCATGCATCTCAAATTGACTTTTTGTGTTTGAAACTGCTGAAAGCTTCACGATAACGGCTCAGTAATTCAGAGCCCACAGACAACGTACATGCAAAAAGTATAAGCTCCTAGCTTGCAGACGTTAATATTTTATGCCCAGTTGCTATTTTCAGCTTCTGCGATCAATGTTTGAGCTGGAACGCTAAAATGGAGAGGAACATATTTGAATAGGTGGCTTGCAAGCCCCTTGCTTTCACGCCCAGTGATTTGTGGCCTCGTCCAGGTCTTGTTAAATAATGATACATTTTGAGATTAATTCGAATTTTTCCTGCAATAAAGACGCCGCTGGTTTTAGCTCTATCTTTTGATGTTCATTTCTATACTTTGGCGTTTTAATCCAAATTGATTTGACCCGTTTTATCACCGATCACACTCCTCCCTCAAAATAGTCAAGATGCCATTTATTTACCCATTTCTTCGCAAGAAATTTCCCAGAACAAGGTAAATTCCACTTCAAAATTCAAATCTGTGTATGCCAAAGTAAAAAATGAAAAAGGTTACGAGATAATAGCACTGCTTTAAAGCAGTAGCGGCCCTTCGATCGAATGGAATTCACCCCAAGTGTGTCAGTTTATTCATTTCTTCCCGATAAGTGTACATCATCTGTAGCACAAAATTGTGAAACCACACGTAGTTGTATCTTTTAGTCAGCTACTATCATCACAATCATGTGTAGTTTTTGTTCTGATTCTTGAACCCTCTATAAAATTTGCCCACTTGATTTTGCCCTAGTTATTATCAGTCAGAGGCTTATTGTGAACATCAAGTGATAGTATTTTCTCCTCCTGTACGTGATGCCCCCCATTTAGAAGAAAAGCATGTAATAGCGGAGCTCTCGCGCGCACCAAGCGCGCGCAGCGGAGCACCACGGGTAACAAAATTTGGTAAACTATCCATCCGAGGAAATTTGGTTATGACATAGCGTACGCCCGCCCGCCCACCCGTACACACACTTCATGTACGGCAATGTCAAAGGTCACAACAGATCTTGCACAACTTGAGTAGCCTTTCAGTTATGTAAGCCATTCGTATGAGTACGATTAGATTGACAGCTGTC